GATTGGTTATATTTATATGAAAGCATTGTCGGGTAGTATAAATTAAAGTTTGTTCAAATCAATACCCCTGGGGGTTGGGAGGGCCTAAATGGGTGATCAAATTTTTATGTTAGGCATACATGTGAAAAATCTTCTTCTCAAGAACAGTTAAGCAGTGATTAGACATATTCATATGGAAGCATCCTTGATAGTTTACATTCAAGGTTGTTCAAATCATGTCCCCTTAGGGGTAGGGAGCAGCCATAATTGGTGATCAAAGTTTAAAATGAGAATACATAGGAGAAATCATTAAAAATCTTCTTCCAAAGAATTGCAAATCCATGTTTAGCCATATAAATTCAGAAGCATCCTCAGATAAGGTTAGGTATATTCAAATTTGTTCAAACCATGTCCCCTGGGGGTAGGGTGGGGCCATAATAGAAGATCAAACATAGAAAAGCAAAAATATAATTGCAGAAAATCAGGATGAGGCTGCAGAAAAGCAGGATTTTTTTTTCCTGTGGATTATTTGAATCAGACTAGCAGAACCATAAGCATTCAGGTTATTTCTGCTTATCTAATTCTTAAATATATTCTGCTAATTTATGGAATAAATGCATAAAAATACAGTGGTACTAAGGAGATAATTAATCAAATGCTATTGAATTGACAGTATCTGACATTTTTTTAATTTTCACTGTAGGCACAGTTAGCATGTCATCACAGCTTCAAATACCAGAGTACCTATATCCTCAGAAGATACATGCAAACAGATTTGTCAATGGTAAATGTAAGTAAATACATGTATGATTTTTTTTTCGACAATTTAAATTTGACATTAAGCTGAACATATTTAATTTAACTATTCCATCTAAGCCAGAAGCTTTAGTAAGCTTTTTACTGTCAAAACTTGTCTGTCTGTTGTTGTAAACTTTTGCACTTTCCAGACGTACGTATTTCATTCTCTAGAATCACACCTAAATGCCAATTTTAACCATTGCAAACTTGGCCAGTTAGCACAACTCATGTTTTGTTTAAGTCTCAGATGAAGGAAATTCAAGTTTTAACAGAAATGTACAGACTAACCATTTTCCAATGGGAGAGCATTTAGGGATAATGAAAACAGTGATGTGGGTGTAGTAAAACATTGAATTATCTCAAAAGTCAAGATCACTGGGCCATTTGGTAAAAGCTAAGACTTTTTTGCCCCTACAATGAAGTTATATACTAGCTCCTACAAAGAAGTTGTAAGGGTGTCCTGGAATCACCATGTCTGTTTGTCTGTCTGTAGACATGTTTTGTCTGGAAATTATCTTTTAAACCACTTTATAATAATGCCCTGGTAATCGAAGAGTCGTGGGTATATAAGTTTTTGCCCTGTCCGTCCATATTTCACATGTGTATTTATTGACTAGACCTTCCTTTTGGTACCAACATATTTGACCTTGACCTTGGAGTTTGACCCACTTTTGTAAAAATTTACCCAACTTTAACCTTGGCCATAACTTTTGAACAGTTGGTGCTAGGGCTTTCAGATTTCACATGTGTATTTATCCTGACAAAACCTTTCCTTGGGTGTAAATATTTTTGACTTTTTGACCTTGACCTTAGAGTTTGACCCACTTTTAAAAAATTTTAACCTTGGCCATTACTTTTGACCCACTTGTATTCCTTGTGACAAGACCTTCCTTTGGATATCAACAATTTTGACCTTGCCCTTTGAGTTTGACCTACTTTTGAAAAACTTTAACCTTGACCATAAATTTTGAACTGTTGGTGCTAGGGCTTTTATATTCTGCATGTATATTTCTTATGACAAGGTCTTTCCCCTGAATACCATTAATTTTGACCCTTTGACCTTGACCTTGGAGTTTGGCCCACTTTTAGAAAACATTAACCTTGACCATAACTTTTGAATGGTTGGTGCTTGGGCATTTTTGATCTCTCGACTTTGCAGTTTGACTTGCATTTGAGAAAGTTTAACCTTCGCCATAAGCTGCCATACGGGGGCATCAGTGTTTCACAAACACATCTTGTTTTTTCCCTACACTTTGTAATTATATATGAACTAACTGGTAACAGAAATTTACAGACTGATTTATCAAACTTTTAAAAAGAGGAATAAGAGAATTAAATTCTTATTTGAACATGACTTTGTAACCAAGAAAACAATCTTAGGCTCATAACTGATGGAAAGGTAGCTTGTGTCCAGAGATGAGTCTTGACCCAGTACAAAGGACATTTTAGATATGTTCAAGGTCAAAAGGGTACAAATGTATTAAATTATTTTCATTCACAACTATATAATGGAAACACAGTAGACATACCTGAGACAAAACTCGCCTGTGACTCAAAGGTATATCCCAAGACTAACATAGGGTAATTTGAACTAGATATTTTTTTTTAAGGTTGCTTAATTATGACTAGAGGCAGTGAAACAACCCTGCCTGTTGGTCATTTAAGCAATGTAGAGGTAACAGGAATTGAAGTTTAAATTCTTGGCCATAACATAATTGTATATTGAAAAAAGTAACTCCCAAAGAGCATACTGCCCTAATGTTTGATAATGAACATAAGATATGCCATTTCCAGAACAGAGGTCATAAGACAAGGTCAAGGTCATAGAGTTGATAGAAGTATCTCAGAAAATGCAACTTTTTATTTTAGTAGTATCTGGAGAACATACTTGGCATACAGGTGATTATGACCAAGAGGTATTAACCCTACTTAAGGGCCTAGGGTAGTCATAGTTAATTTTTAAAAAAAATATTGTCCATTATGAATTTCAATAACCTGAGATTGTTTACTTTTGTATTTTCAGCTATAACGACAACACCTTTTTAACAGAATCCTCAAGAGAAAGAAATCTTATGTGATGAGAACCTCAATAAAGAAGATAGAAAAAGATCAATTGTTTTAGTTTTCAATGTAGAAATTGATGTCACAGATGTCTTTATTTAGTCAGGGAGTCCAGAAAACAAGTTTTGATTCTTTCAAATTCAAAGTTACTTTTTGTATAATCATGCATTACTTGTGTCTGGATTAACTGACTATAAAGTAAGAAAAAGAGAATTTTTCAAGAAAACTTCATTTGCAAGAAGCAAAAATTCTGTTTCCAAGGAAGAAGGATAAAATTAATGGATTAGGTTTGGTGCACTCATAGATAATCGCTTGATATTAATATCTGGGGTACAAAAAATATGCTTGTCTTCGCATGATATTCATATGAAACCTGGGTTCTTTTTTTCACATGAATTTCGTGCGATTTTCTTTTCGCATGATATTCGTGTGAATTTCTTGTGAAAATTGCATGATATTTTCGTGCGAATATCATGTGTGGTCCTTTTCGTCTCCTTCTCATGAGAAGAATTCGCATGATATTCGTGCTAATTTTATATGAAGTTCATGCGAGCCACTTTTCCCTGTGTACCCATGGGAATTCCAATAGATTGTTGGAAGACCTGGTCCCCAAAAACCACGCAGATATTGTCAATCAGAAACTCAAGCATCTTTTTAATGTCAACTTCAGAGTACTTGTGTGAACAATCATCACTGTGACGTCATAGTCGATCGGTTGAGACGTCAAAGCAAAACGATTGCGAGATTAAAAAAACGTTGTAAACATGGATTTTTAACGACATATTTGGAAAAAGTTTGGCAGTGTAACTATTAGTCTCTGTCAGGATGGCTCAATAACTCTATCTTATAACAGGCCAGGGATTTAAAAAAAAAAACACTCTTCGTGAAGGAATACATAAGTTTTGCCGCACTTCTGATATTCTCACACAGTGAGAATACCATTTTGATATCCTTTCACACTGTGTCAGAATATCGCTTTCATTCAGTAATAAATTACAGTATTTCACTGTTGAAAATGTAATAAAAGACGTTTTTTCCTTCGTTTTATGGAAATTCGCTTATTATATAACAAATAAATGGACATCAGCGAGTAAATATCTTGTTTTAGTAAAAAAAAAAAAAGCAACTTTATTTTTATTTTTATTTCAACCCCCGACAAAAATTTCTGTAAAAAAAAAAAATCCTGTAAAACAGAAAATTAAAAAAAAATGTTGGGCTAATTGAGCATGATTCTTCTATTTACCCTTTTATTGATTATTGTTTGATATCTTATATCTACCACATATAATTGAGCATGATCTCTATTCGTAATCTTCACATTTTATAAAGGCAAATAATTTATAAACTGAAACACATTAAATCATCGTTGCTTTGCAATTAAATGAAATATAAATCGCTCTCAGCTTCTCCTGTTTCTCTAAATACTAATTTTGAAAGAATATACGATGCGTTTCGAAGAGTTAAAAGTGTTAAGAAAAGGCTATACAAGGCTATGCAATATCTCTAAAGCTGTATATTGGCATTTATACACATCTTGGTAATTTATTTAGATGCAATTTTTTTATTAATTATGAAAAGGATCATGACAAAACCGTCACGAATTCTGAAAATATAAGATACTTTATACACTGTATGTATACATAAATATTAACATTTATATTAATGCAATTAGTATTTTGATAGCCCAGTTACCCATTAAATTGCTTATTTCTTTCCATAATCCTCTCGTCACTAGAACAGCATATCTTATCCTCCTTTAATGAATAAAGTCTGTGAAACAGTTTGTCGTGTGTTGCCACTTTTGTGACCTTTAATAATTTGCTTGAAATTCTCAAAAGTATTATTAACAATGGCATATAATTTTAGCAGACACAATATATAAATATGAGAAATAAACCAATTTTGTAAAGGGAGATAATCCAAATTTCCAGCAATTACAACTTAGACTTAACAGAAAAATCATGAAATTAACTCATTGATATTGAATAATAATAAAGAAATACTAACGCAACTTGTTTTTAAAATCTTTTGTCACAATAAATATAAACATGTCTAGATTGATTTTACTCTGTAAATAGAGATGTGTTGTATAGCTTACCTTATTTAAAACATAGAATAATTATTAATATTGAGTAAGAAGTAAATCAAATAGAGATGCTGCTTGTAATAAAACTTAAGTATCATTTCATTATAACTATTTCAGGATTGTTTATACGTTAACTCTAGATTTTGTATCTAATCATCATCACAGTCTTTTTCAATGCTTCATCATACTTCCAGTGTTCCCATGTCACGTATTCCCAACCAGACAAGGCAGACTGAGCGTACTCTCCATTAAGGTTTGAGCTGTAACACCAGCCGTACCACCAGGCTCCGTGCCATTTTGTAGCACAGTTACCATCATAACTGTCGTTATCCTGATCCTTTGTGCTGAATTTATATCCATTGTGAGAAGCCAAACTGTCACCTGAAAAAGAGTACAATTAACTTTAATGTTTACTAATTATTTACATGTATAAGATATTTATCGTAACAAAGTAAACGCCAATGTAGTTATCATTGTCCAGGTCTTCAGTGGTAAACGTGTTACCATGTAAAGAGTCACCTTCTGATCTCTTTTAGGATGTTGATAATACTTAAATGATAATTTCAGCGTGACGGCAAGAAAAAATATCTAAAATATGATTGGATATGTTAATTTGAAACTCGGTTCCACAATCTTTCTTTTAAGCACCTATTCGTATTTCCGTCACTCTTCGTGGCTAGTAACGTCTTCGTATCGGAATCATTGAGAGAGAGCTTCTTAAGGTGATTGCAGGATCGAGTTACTTGTTATAAATGGTGAGAAGAAAATGTTGCTGTTCTTGAGAAATACAGTTAGTTTAAACTACTTTACATTTCAATCTCTCTTATACTGAACTAGAATTGGACATTGAATATGTTGTAAAGAACGAAAACTAGTTTGCGACAATGACTGCTAATTATTACATTCACGTAGTTTTACGTAAATGTGAGTTTTTAAAACGTCAAGATATTATTCCTGATTCTTTTAAATTGTGAGCAAACATATCACAGTACCTTGTGTCCTGTGGCATCTTAAATTTTTGAAAATAAAAGATAATGATGAAAAATATCTGATTTCATGGTTCTGTGGCCAGAGGCGTATGGCAAGCAGTCAGAAGGTTGCTGATTCAAATTCAACTGTTTGTATTGTAATGTTTCCTTGCATACGATACTTATATGCATTAAATTGTTTAATATCACCTGAAAATAAGTAAAGACTTGCACTGGGAGTTTGCTTGCGATGGTGTCTCAAGAGAGGTCAATGACTCTCAGCCACTTAGAACTATAGAAATTGGGTATGTGAGCCTAAGAGCCCCATGGCTTGGGAAGAATTTAAGTAAGCTTTTAAAAAAAACATAGTATGTGATCAGGAACTTGAATATAAATTCGTAAAAATGAAAAGTGTAAAAACCCTCTGTCTCAATGTACTTCATTACGTATACATGTACATGCTCTGCACTCTATGCAGTTATCCTTCATATATTGTCAACATGCAAACCGGATCCCACTACTCACCCGCTGTTCCGTTGTATCCAGATACTGTCAATGCATATTTATTGTCTTCATCTCCGATGTAAAATGTGGTATACACAGCATAGACCTGTTCTCCGTCATAGCTCTGGAGATCAATTCGGAGTTCTTGATTTTTATTCTTTGTTAAAGCGTGGATTGCGTCATTTCCTATATATATATATATATATATATATATATATATATATATATATATATATATATATATATATATATATATATATATATATATATATATATATATATATATATATATATATATATATATATATTCTTGATTTTTCATTTCTAATAAATACAATAAAAATAAAGTATGTATAGCTTTCTGATTAATATACAGATATAACAATACTATCGTTCTTTCTAGTCTACTTTTATATGATATTCTACTATGGTTATCGCAAAGATCAAAGAGATGCCGTGATCATAATTCTATAAATCACAAAATTCATCAACAAATTATCGATAATTATGAATCGGTATCCTCTAATTTGATTGCCTTTACTGGGAGAAGGATAAAGATATTTTTTCATTGTGACACAAATTGGTAAAAATCAAATTGGCTTAGGATTACATCGCACTTTTTCTAATGATTGAGATACAAATGAACGAGGATGACATTCAATTGTGACGTCATAAGACACTTTATCTATGTAGTGCGAAGCAAATCCGAGATAAACAAACAAGTTCACATTTAGCAGGTCTGGACGTTTTCCATATATGGTAGTCAATAACGATATCTGAAATTTGGTATAACTATCCGTCATATAGACGTTTTTATTTTCTTTTGTCCGATCAGAAAATAGCATTTTCACACATCTAAAACTGATTTCAAAGGAACAAAAGAGAACAAGAGCATTTGATTTTTTTTCCTCACAAAAGATTTTTTTTTACCGTGAACAAACTTGACATTTTAATCTCGGAAAAAACACATCCATGCATTTACTGTGTAACACAATGCGATCGTTTAGGGGGGATAGATAACACCGTCAAAATATAATCAATTACAACCTTTACCAGAAAAATGTTCTATGCAGAAAAATGCTCTATGCTGATAAACAAAATAAATTTCTTCTTAGCCAACTCGTCAAGATCTACAACACACAAGTGGTCATCGTATAGACCACTTATAGAATATCATGGATTTTATGAATGTTTCTAAATACCGTATTAAAAATACATTTTAACTTGTGTAAGGAAAGGTGTAAAACACGGGGGAAAAGTTGTGAATATGAATATAAATATTGCGCCTCGGTTGACAATGGTTTTCGAGGGGTGAAAATTTTCAATGTTACACTCAACTACATGCAATATTTATTATATTATACTGAATGTCCTATACAAATACATATTACAGTGAACTTTGCGCGCATAAATTCTGCGCAGTCAATATATATATATTTTTAATATCACCCGTCGTCAAGCAATGTTGACTGTTGCTAAGCTGGAGGGTGTGGCTTTTTTATTCAGTGGGTAATAGTGTTTTTAAGCAATGTTTCTCGACGTATCAGATTAAACAAATTTAGATGAAAGTTTAATATTACTTTTTATCACTCTAACTTACCAAGCAAACCAGAAATTATATCATTTTGTTATACATACTTAGGAGATAATCCACAGTCCAAAAACATGCCAGGCTCTAAAGCTGGAAGTTTGACGCAATACTATTTATACTGACATTTGTACCCCATGAAAGAAAAAAAATGCATTCATTTATAGAGAAATCGAATTTTCTTTTGTCTAGCATTAGATACCAGTGCTTATTAGCATGGTATTATTTTAGACGTGATATGTGACGTCTAGCAATGATAGCACAAGCCTTTACACTATGTATTACATAACAATTAAAGTACAGAGAAGAACTAAAATATTGTATCAGCACAAAAAGATGCAATTTTCTCCAAATGCCTGGATACCTATATTTCTGTATCCTAAATATATTTATTGATCAATCTTCAATAAGAAAATGCATAGCTGGTGTTTTTATTCGCATTTCCTGAAAATATAATTGAGATTTAATAATTTTCCCCATATAATTTGATTAACTATATTGATATACTTGAAAGAAATACCATGGGTAAATTTTCGTTACTATTTGAGCATTTTCAATTACTTAAAAGCTGATTTTCAGAACCTGAGAATCGGACTACCTTAACATAAGATAAAGTATACTTCATAGTGAAAGATTTTTAATACTAATCATGATGTATTCTGAGCTTTCAAGTTGTGTTTTTGTCACGGTGGAATTGTTATATATACTGTATTTTTTCCTCCTCAATTTCCATTAAATTCGATTACATGTTGATAAGACAATAAAAAGTAAGACAATGTACAAGAAAATAAGACAACACGTGTAGAGACCTTTACGCTTCCATAATCTGGTATGACTTCTTATTTTCATTTATATGTAGTATTGTTTTAGGATATTTCATATCATTTAAAGCGTCTTTTCTGTATGATGGATTTTAAAGATTATTTCGACTTTAAAAAATATCGATATGAAAAATATTGGTTTAAGCATGATAATTAAAGATATCGAAGTAGTAAGATCGACACAAACAATAAAACTATATGCATAATAGATAAATTGATATAAATATATTAGTATTTCTAGGGCAAAAGTTTGCAAAATATTGTTCTCTAACTTCGCGAGCGCGGGAATTGGAATGAAACGTCACATATCATAGATTAATTGACGGCACATGCATAATGTTACGGTGTCATGTGTAAAGTATCAAATATTCGTTGTATGGTTATAAAGAAAATATATTAGAGAAGAAGAGGGTGAGAGGGAGGTGATCAGTTAGATTGTCCCCATTGAAACAAATACCAATTATAATCAAATCATTCTAAATTACAAGAAATGAAATCTACTAGTATATGTAATAAAATTAATATTTCTTCTTATAAGTAAATAAAAAAAGTCATCAAACTCTCTTTAAAATAAATGTAAAAGTTATTCCATTTTATAAACTTAGGAACGATTCAGCCATAATGAGAATAGTGAAAGAGAACTACTTTATAAATCTATTTTAACCTAAACTGAACAAACATTAATATTTTGATAAGTTCATGTCTTTTTTGTATAATTAATTTCTTAAATACTTTGTTTATTGAGACTGAGAAAATCATGATTTATTGTCCAATTCAATTTTCCCGAAATTTTAAGTTATACCATGACGTCATGGATTTATTCCTTCCCTGCAAAGACACTCATGACGTCATGGCGTCAAAGTTAACGTTACCAAGCAAAAATAATCAGTTCAACGTTTGTACACCTGAAGACGGATTGTTAAATCCAGAAAGCGCTTGTGTTTAATGAAATTTGGAAAAAACTGTGCATTTTCTTTTATGATTATTGTGTGACATCATCTTTTAATTACTTTTGAATTATATATATATATATATATATATATATATATATATATATATATATATATATATATATATATATATATATATATATATATATATATATATATATATATATATAGATATATATAGATATATAGATAGATATATAGATATATATAGATATATATATAGATATATATATATAAATATATATATAAATATATATATATATATATATATATATATATATATATATATATATATATATATATATATATATATATATATATATATATATATATATATATATATATATATATATATATATATATATATATATATAACATAAAAATTAACTATCAGCACATTAGATGTAACATCTTATTACTTAAAATAATGTAAAATAATTAGTGCTTTATTTCAGCCAATCTCAACAAGCTTATTCACAAAGTTAAAATGGGGAATGTGTATGGTTATCCAAATAAAATTTATGAGAAGAAAAAAACAGGGAAATAATTATTATATTTTGAGTAGTCTTCTTTATTTTTGGGATGTATTAGCGGATCTCTGCTCTACTCAGGTTTAAAAATAAGGAGTATACATAAGGGGCACAAAGATACTCTTGCCTCTCTCCCCTCTTCAAAAGTGGTGGTGGGTACAATAGCCGCTATGACTATACTTATGTCTAATTGTTGATGTCTCTCCATCTCCCTTTTTCAAAATATTTTTGAATTTGTATCAACCTATAATCGTAAAAGAAAGCAAATACATGGTACAGGATCTTTCACTGCATCCGGAGTAAAGTGAAGATTTATTAGAATTCCCACCCCACGAAGTTCATTCAATAACAATATTTCCCCACTTCTTTCTCGGAAATATTCATCAATTTATATCGATATAAGTACATATTTATTTTTACATATCGACATTACAATATTGATATGATTGAATATCTTGTTTGATCGATATCTTAAAATCAGTATTTTTTGTAAGTTTATAAAACTTATATCAATAAAATCAATGAAATAAAAGAAGATGCATTAAATTATGTTCATACATCTAAATACAATTTAAAATAGGTGTATATATATGGATTCATAACACTTTATTTGTTAATAAGACAATAAAATATAAGACTATATACAAGTTATAACAAAACAAGTGTAGAGACCTTTACGCTTCCGTAGGACTTACATTACATTTGGTGTTAATTTGATGTTATAATAGCATTGCTGAGATTTCAAAATAAAAATGACATTGCAAATGTTGTGAAATTAATCATATCAACAATGTACACATAGCAATAACAGAGATGAAAATAATATTTCAAATCTCCAGTGTAGATATTGCAATGTCGAGTATATCGGCAGAAAATACAATGTAAACAGGATATCGTATCAACTTTGCCTACATTACGTGGTCGACAATATTGAAATTGTAAGGTTAACTGGACATGAAAACATGTATATTTTGCTTTTGATATGAAAATTCCAATTAATCAAGTTATATAAAATAAAAACATAGGATCATACCTATCCAATAGTTTTTAGTGACATTCCCAAATCCGTGTTTATACTCTATCCATGTCCTGTAAAAATCGACGTCAATATCCTGTCGTTTCTGAATGACCTGTAAACAACACTAGATATTTCATTTTATTGCTTCTTGTAAAAATAAACAGCGACCACTATTCTCCTGTAAAGTTTCTATAGAAAACATGGCAATGTGTACTATTCTGTGAAAGAGAGGCGGTATGGGACAGATTTGAGTAATGTAGAATTGTTTGAACATCTACAATTGTCTCTTTGTAAAAGGGTTAAGAATCCAAATCCAAATCAAAATTTTGTGTTTAGTTTCTTCGTTTTCTCACTGCCAGTGAGCACATTTAAATTCCAGAATTGCATATTTAAAGTCTACTGCTATGTTAGGGTTCGTCCCTCAATGTTTGGCTAATGATATAACCAAATATAATGGTGGTGTTTCGATTTCCATTCCTTATTCATGTAGGTGCTTATGTTGAGGGACAGGTTCAAGTCACACAGCCATACTGTCATCATAATAAAGTTTTGTTAAATTTGTTTTCATGATAAACTCTAACATCTGCAACTGTATTAGATTTTCTACAGTTAAAGTTGAAATAGATAATAAAAGGAAATTTTATTGATCATTCGGTAATCTTTCAAAAACTAAAACACTACTCACCGTCCACCCACCCCCATCTGTCGTCATGTCACAGTAGACCTCTCTTCGGATGTCAGCGTAAATTACATAAACTCCATCTTGTCCTTTCTTGCTTGGATCTCTTTTCACAATATCTGAACAGTCTTTATACATTTTTTCTATTCAGTGTGAAAAAAAATCAATAATCAGTATAAAGGCCTTAAAATTAACAAAGGTTATAAAGATACATTTTGGAACGTCTTGATGAGAAGTGTATTATAATCATACATACATTGTATTTATCAGTTTTAAAATTTTAAAAGGAAAAGAAATTAAAGAAAACCCTGTTTTGATTAATTAAAAATGTTAAGATAACGAACAGCGAACGATCTCATAAAAACTACAATCAATACTATTCTGTGAACAGGGCATAAACACAAGCCCCTGCAAATTTCAAAGGTGGGATTAGGTGCCTAGGAGGAGTAAGCATCCCCCTTTTACTAGATACACCCGCCGTGAGCCCTATGCCTTGATCAAGATGCCAAATTTAGTAAAAACAAAGGTCTAACAATTGGTATGAAGCAATTCAGCCAAAATACGACCCAGTGGTAGGTATTCTTGCTATTAAGGTTATAATAACGACCATAGAATTTACAAAATGCATAGATTAATTGTTGTTGAATAGATCGATGTTACATCAACTTACGTGTGAGTAGTCTGTCTCGGATTAAAAATTGATCGTACCCAGAGCATGCTCTCTGGTAGCAAATAAGTTGGGAAACATGAACAATATATGTAAGTCGAGCAGAATATTTCTACATAAATAAGAAATGCTGGCGATGGACAAGCTGAATTGACCTCGTTTGTAATACATTTCTTAGTTGGTCTTGTCGTCAATAGTCATTAAAACGTCCAAAATGAAACAGATGGAACAGACAGTGTTTTTTTTTTTTTTTTATTTCAAATTTATCAGGATAAATCGGGTCGCCATATAAAAAAAGTCGTTTTGATGTTATAGAATTCGTTTGTTTGTTTGTTTGTTGTTTAACGTCCCTCTCGAGAATTTTTCACTCATATGGAGACGCCACCACTTGCCGGTGGAGACCTGCAAATTTTGTCCTATACACGGCACTTACAGCCATTGAGCAGTGAGGGATCTTTTTCGTGCCAGCACCTACTGCGACACGGGACCTCGGTTTATACGGTCTCATCCGAAGGACCGGTCTCCACGTCCCACAGTGGGATTCGAACCCGCGACGTAAGGATCAACTCCTTACTTCGCGACTCTAGAGCAGACGCTCTAACCACTGCGCCACGCGGGCGACTATAGAATTTTAAAAATTAGGTGATTTTAAATTTTCTAAAAGTACTAAAGAACTTTTATTTAAGAGAACGCAGTGGTAAGTCAGGTCAGGAGCGAGAGAATTGTTATAACTGATGTTTAATCTTAGAGATTTATTTCCTATGGATATTTAACTCCTAAGAAAAACTATTATTGTTTACCAATCAATAAATATAATTACTTCTAAATAAGTAATGTTCGGTTTTTAAAATAATTTGTAAAAAAAAAATATTTAAAAGCAAGTTTCCAAGGGTAAATTTTTTCATTCAATCAAAAGGAAATTCATTGTAAGGCACTTTCATCCATTTTATGTAAATAATTTATACAGATAAAAATAAATAAGTTTTATAAATGTATAAGGTTTATCCTACAAAACAAAATCAATTTTAATTACAGATTGGCTTAAAATAGATATTTTGTTAGGGACATTTTTTATTGCATTTCGATCACAAATTATCAAATAAAATAGAAGACATATTAGATAAATGAATTGGTATTCATTATCAGGCACTTTCATTCATTTTATGTGAATAATTAATACCAATACAAATATGAATCAGGAAAATGTAAACCTTGTGTGTATAGGAAAATGATCGCATTCATCAGTGATCGCAGAAAAATGCACTGTATTTTTCTGCATTGTGGTTACAATTCCTTTATAAACCGAGTATTTCATTGTTTATATGTTTTTTCACTGCATAACCAACTAAGTAAATTAATTGTCTACTGAACTAATTTATCTTGATTAATTTGATAGATGAAAAATTATTAAAAAACAAAACGGAAAATCTCAAAAAACATATTATGTAAACAAGAACTTGCATTCTTTAACACAAATAAACACATTATCATCTTAACTCTAATTTTTCTAAGATTTTTCGACGAAGGATTGATTGATTGATTGTATGTTATTTTACTTCCCATTCGAGAATTTTCACTCATATATAGACGTCACCATATACCGGTATAGGGCTTCAAATTTTGACCTTTACTCGGCACTCAGGGCCATAGAGCAGTGAGGGATCTTTATCGTGCCAACGTCTGCCGTGACCCGGGGCCGCGGTTTTTAAAGTCTCATCCGAAAGACCTGCAACTTTCACTTGAAAGTGCCGAGCGCATGGCGAAGGAAAAGTTGCTACCCATTCTTTATCGACTTAGGTTAGTTGCGGCCGAGATTCGAACTCACGAACCTCCCGATCACGGAGCGATTCGACGAAGGAAAAAGATTTTAATAACAGACTGGCTGGAAAGCCATGTTTCGTTAAAGACAATTTTATAGCATTAAGACTAAAAATTTACAAAGAAAATACTAGTAAGCTAGTAGCAGACAAACAGTCACTAATACAGCTAGTAACAAGGTTGGGATCAATTACTTTGAAAATGTAATAAAATACTTTCAATTAGATTAGTAGTTGTGTCAATTATTTGCAATCAAAGTTACTTGTACAATTAATTTTTTACAAATGTAATTTAATTATAAATTAGAATGTATTTGAATACATTTCAATTATTTTAGTTTGATTTTACAAAATTTTGCAGAATCACTATTTGAAATTTTGGAAATTTAATGTTTGTTAATTTTAGGGATATAGTTAAAAATGAATTACATCAGGTGCGTGTTTTTGGGTGTTTCATTATCACAAAACCTTTCCATATGTAAGATGTTTCGTAAAAGATGAAAAAAGGATAAATTCTTTCCGATTATTATTTTGTTTTGTATCTTTATTGATTTTAAATTTGAATGTTTTAATTGTTTAAGTGATAATCATGTTTATAGAAATATGAAGGTAAAATAATTAGTCGCTGTCTTATTAATTTGCTAACAAATAATAATAAGGAAGAAAATGATGTCCAGTAATCGTTATTAACACACAGACAGATTTGTATTAAACAAGACATCATAAAATTGATTAATTGAATGTTTAAACGTCTCATTTGAGAACTGTTCACTCATCTAGATGGCAAAGCAGATGAAGTACCACAAATTTTGACCGACGGATGGTTCTTACGGCCGTAGCAGTGAAGGAATTGCTTCGCATCAACGCCTTCCGTGAGAGAGAACTCGGATTTTAAGGTTTAATCCAAGGACCTCATTCATCCCAAGTACCAGCACTTGGGGAAGAAATAGCACTACCTATGTTAAAAATGTTACGTTTGACGCGGAGCCGTTAACGCGCATCGAACGCCAAAAAAAAAAAAACTCTGAGTTCTACCTAAGGTTAGGGTTAGGGTTGCAATCATCACCTACAGAAATGTATGAAACATCTTAGATGTTACCTTTTAAAACAGGCATACAGTTACCCCGAAGACAAATTGCATCCTCGGTACAGGTATGCTTGGGACAATCGGCCGTCAGGTGCTGAAAGTCATTCAACTTAGAGTGGTGACTCATTTGATATTTGATCGAATTGTTTTAATCTTAATGCTTCAATATATGTGGTTTTTTTTTTGTCTGATACATTGCTTGCCTTTGGAAAACTTTCCCGATCTACATGAATGATGCGGCCTCCGGTCATGAAACTACTGACTTTTTTGATGGCATATCTCGTGTTTAGCTGGCATATCTTTTTTTTCGCGTATCCAATCCACTGAGCGACACAACTCAAATTTGTTACAGACCATCATACACATTGCCATTTCAGCATTGGTCAAAAGGTTAAAACCAGGTACTGACGAATTTTCATAATTGCTAATGATTAAAGTTTTGGGATCGAAGCACTGAGAGTAACATGTCTGTAAAAGAGTTAGGGTTTGTCCAATGAGGTACACACTGATCTCCTTAGGACCCGCTTTTAATTTCATTTCAACAGTTTTCTGCAAGAATTAAGCGGTCAGATTTCATTGTCGACAGCTTTTACCAGAATAATCAGCTGTTTGAATTTTTCTACACTCCTATGTCATATATATTTTTATAGCAAAGGTTTGTTCACTTATGATTGATGAGGACCCACGTAATAGTATCATTTGTGTTGTATTGAATGAATTGTTACGTAATCTAAAAATCTTTTGTCGATTTTAAATTTTATAATTGTTCATATTTGAATTTTTTGTCTCATTGCAATAAAAATAAAGATGAATATTCTCAAGATCTGTATTCATTACATTTTCTACGGTCGCCCGCATGGCGCAGTGGTAAGAGCGTTCGCTCTAGAGTCGCGAGGTAAGGAGTTGATCCTTACGTCGCGGATTCGAATCCCACTGTGAGACGTGGAGACCGGTCCTTCGGATGAGACCGTATAAACCGAGGTCCCGTGTCGCAGTAGGTACTGGCACGAAAAAGATCCCTCACTGCTCAATGGCCCTGAGTGCCGAGTATAGGTCAAAATTTGCAGGTCTCCACCGGCAAGTGGTGGCGTCTCCACATGAGTGAAAAATTCTCGAGAGGGAGGTTAAACAATAAGCAAACATAAACATTACATTTTCTGAGCAGAAAACATGGAGAGCTAGTACTTATGTTTGTTATCTTAAGTACTGATATTAACTTTGATACCAAAATGTGAAAAAATGAGAAGAATGGGCTTCTCAGTTATTTATGAATCTAACCGATGCATAAATTAAAATATACCCTTGTCATACATGAAATTGATCAAATAGGTATGCACTGGAGAAATGTAATGCTTTTTGTGATCTTAGATAAATTTATTTTACTTCTAAAACTAAATTGGAGTCCTCAAACAATTCAATATGGTTTTTGAAAAAATCAATTTAAATTTTGTTTGAATAGAATGTTTTAAAAATAAGTGCCGAGTATAGGACAAAATTTGCAGCTCTCCACCGGCAAGTGGTGGCGTTTCCATATGAGTGAAAAATTCTCGCGAGGGATGTTAAACAACAA